AGCCTGACACGCTTTGAGAAAGGCCAAGGAACCCAAAGGTGGGACTCAAGATCACTTCCTCACCCCTTATAATTGTACTGATTATCAGCCCTATCTCTGCAATGACAGTGAGCTGCAGAAACTGGGTGAAGAAAGATGAAAGACTGCTAAGTGACAGTCCCAACAGTAAGGCTGCCTGAAGAAATGCCAGCAGGCACTGCACATCCACACGGCATGTGCTGGGTACAAGAATTCATTTGCCATTTTTACATGAGGTCAATTTAGTGCTCATTCTATGACTTTTAAACCGTATTTTAATACAAGATAGGTTCATTTCCCCATCACTAAGATACAACCAGCCCTATTTATTCTAAGGCTGTAGGTGAAGCAATTTATAATTTCAGCTTTAAAAACTCAGAGATTTGGGTTCCAAACTGGCCCAGAACATTTTCTAGGTGTAAGGAGGTAATCAACATTTCTTCTGATTCCTCATCTAAAGAATGGGAATACGGTTTAGAACTGCTGTAAGGAAACGATGAACTGCAAAAGTAACAGCTCAGAAGTGTGCTCTTGTATCCTTACAATCATTCTATTTAAGGTACTGTGTATTTTCAGCCTAAGTAACCAATAAATGATTGGTCCTGGGACCAGAATTCTTCTGGGACACACTAACACACTACTTCATTGAAGCTGCCTATCTCGAAATTAGGCCAAACCACTTGATATAGTCTGAAGGTCAAGCCAGCCCTGAATTGAATCAAAGATGCAAAAAGCAATGAGTTTTCTGGGGCACCCAGCCCCAAGCATCCACATCCTGGAGGAAAGAAGTTCAAGTTCTAAATGATCAACTTACTTCATCAAGAATCAAAGGATTCTTGACAAAAATAGCTCAAAAGTGCTTGAAAACAGTCTATTATTATCCCTATAACAAATTAATACTGATTCTATAGCTTGCTTATGCTAATTTAAAAATTGTGTTCAGTCCCCTGAGCACACACTATTTAACTAGGCAACCAAAAAGAGGAATTTAAGTGTATGCAAAAACTTAAAGTCTTGAGGGGTAACAGGCAATGCTTGATGCAAAATGCATGCATGAAGAGGATCAAAAGTTCACAGACATCATGGGAAATACTTGGAGTTCTTTGGCATAAAATATCTTAAATATAAATTTAAAATATCATCACCATCATTGGAAGCTGCCTACAATTTTCAGTGACAATCACTTGATCCCTAATGGGTATTTCTGAAGGGGTCTGAAAATGAGCACGGCACTAAGTCGGGTGTTTTCTTTTTAAACATGATCATCATATTGTACACTTGATACTTATGCTGAGAGCTCAGATCTTCCTTTTCCTTAGTATAATTTTCATCTAAGCATTCCTTGGATACTTAGATCATTCTTAATGGAGATTGTGCATTATGTCCTCTGTGGACTCATGGAAATCCAGCTAATTGGACTGACTTGATTACAATAGTGTATGAATTCTCCCATTTCCTTCCACTATAATAAATGCTGAAGATATTTTTGTCACATATTATGTTATTATTTTAGACTGCAAACATTTTCTAAAGCAGTGTTTATAACAAACAGCGGTTTTACTCTTCACACCAAATAAACCTCTGTTTTCAAACTACATTTCTTTCCTTGTTAGTATAAAAACAGAGTGTTCTAATAAAGTTTGGAATAAACCTGTAGCACAAATAGCTATCATTCAAATTCTGGAGTCACAACAATTGAATATTAGCTTTGCAATAAAACATTGTGTTCCAGCTCCAGGATGCTCATCAAGACAGCACAGCCTTTAACAAAAGATTCATAAAGTGATGAATTATGTACTCCCCAGTCCATGTATCTGAAAAATTAGGAAATCTATTTTTATTTTGAAAGCATCTTGTTTACTGTTAAATTTTGTATCTCAAAAATTATTGCATATTTTTTCTTGACCAAAATAAGGTGTCTAGCCAAAGAGAGTTTAGTATTATTTAAGCATTCTCATGAGGACTTAATTCCTGCGGTTACTATTACCATGTAGTAGTAACTGTCAAAATTCTTTAAACACTAATGAGTCACCTTGCTGCAAATAAACATGCTTCCATTTGAAAAGATGAAACCAATCACCGAGTGGGAAAAAGTTTACCCTGGGCCCCAATGTAAATCAGTGAAGAGAGGAAATTGAAAAGTATTCCAGGGTCTGGGGATTTAGCTCAGCGGCATAAGTGCCTGCGTTGCAAGCAGGCGGCCCTGAGTTTGATCCCTGGTACCGATAAAAAGGAAAAAGACAAAAAAAAAAAAAAAAGAAAGAAAAAGAAAAAAAGAAAAGTATTCAAGCTACTTGCTTCCATCACAAACATGCACTTGACCTCTAGCGCCCATGAACCACTCTTGAGATGGATTTTCCTACCCCAACCAAACATGGATTGTAGGGAAAGAGGTGGGGGTGAGGGAACTCGTTAGGAAAAGGAGGATGTGTCCGTGTCCATGATCAGCCATTTCCTCTCAGGATGTATAAAAATCCACCCTCCTCTTTTGAGATTTCTTGTGGAGAAATCTCTTTGCGAGCTGGCCCCTGAACGAGCAGGCTCTGGGAAAGCAGGTTTTCCTCCTGTCTTCACCCCTTGTGAAACCTACTCTGCTGCAAAGAGTGCTGTTGCTTGGAGGGGCTCAGCCCAGGCACAGAAACCTGAAATTTCAAAAATGCGATAAAGCCCTAACCCGGCAGCTCTGGGAGGCGAGCAGCTGCCGGGTGACCGCTGATGGAGTGGCTTCTTAAGGAGGTGGGCAGATTGATTCCAGCTGCCGAGCGCGGGGCAGGGCAGCGGCCGCGGAATGCACAGCCCGGCTGAGGCAGACAGCAGCAGCTTCCCAAGCAAGGGCAAGGCCAAATATTAGCTGTTTGCAATCTTAGCCAGAGAGAAGGAAGAGAGTGCCATTGTTCCGTCCACCGAGGACTGTCAAGGAGGCCTGGGCTAAATGGTACTGTTGAGACGGTGTCACTTGTAAGTGGAATGTGACTCAGGAAATCTGTAAGCTGTCCCCCGAGACTGCTGTGCAGAAGGGCTCACTTTTCCTAGGGCGAATCCTTCCGGCTTCTTTCTTGATTTGCTTTCCCCTGCTTTCAGCCTCCTAGAAGTTTCCACTCTACTTCTCCTGGCTCTTAACCTCTGCTGGTCTCCTCTGCTAACTCCCTACTACCACCAGTACCCCAGGGAGAGTCTCAAAACACACAGGAGGGGGTGCTGTGGAGGGTTGGGGCCCAGGGACGGGTCCGATGAGAGAGGACAGCTCTTCAAAAGAGCTGGCCTCAAAGTGAGATAATTCAGGAGTTCCCAGAGGGCCCCAAACCTAGACACCAAGTGATCTAAGAGGAGGGAAGGGGGAAGAGGTAGGCGGGCATGAAGGCCAGCCTAATGGAATATTCAATATCCTGAGAAATGCACTTTCGGCCCCGCACTTCCAGAGACTAAAAGCCAGTAATGGGCTTTGGAGTCTGCACTTCCTCTCCCTAATGTCCAGAGGCGCTTTAATGCTGCAGCCAATCGATCAGCCTTCTCCGGTGAAGACGGCGAAATGCGTGCAAAAGCTTCCTACTTGTGGCCAAAGTCCGCCCAGCCTCCTCTACACACCCCAAAGGAGCGACGCGCAACTTTGAACTGACATGATGTGGCTCTTAAAATACCCGGGAGAAGAAAAGGAAGGAGCCTGAAGGCGCCCAGAGAAACAACCCGCCCCCTTTCCTTATCCCAACTTTTCCAGAAAGGGATTTAAGGCTAAGGAAAAAACAGGGAGAACGCCCCATGCACCTTGGGACAGGGCTGAGCTCTTGCTCCAAATCTGCTTCAGGTACAAAGTCACCTCGCCACCTGCAAGCCCAGGGAACCCCAAGAAGTGACACTTCTGAAAGAGGCACAGCACCTAAAGGAAGATTCAGAAATTGGGGTTCTTTGCAATGTCATGCTGGTTTCACAGCTGTCTTGACCGCGACCCAGTGAACAAATCTTCCCCGTCCCGCCCTGGGCTGCAGGTTGGATCCCCGCGGTGGTGAGGAGCCCCTGTGCCGCCCCAGTCCCTAGCCCTGCGCACTCCAAGCGGAGTTTGGGCTCCGGACTAGTTCAGTTCCTAAAATGAGCTCAGCCTTGTGCAGCCGCCCGGGGCCCTCCCCGGGAGAGCTCTCCGAGCTGCCCTGGAGCCGGGGTCGCCTCTGGGAGGCTCTCCAGGCCCCGGGTGGGGCAGGGTGCAGCCCCAGCGTGGGAGCCCCCGCCGAGGCGCACAAAGGATAGCGGCGCGACCGCAGCCCGGTGCGGGGAGGCCGAGTCAGCAGGCGGGTGAAAACTTTCCGCGGTCCTTCCCCCGCCCCCACCCCGCAGGGGCGCGACTCCCCGAGGAGCTCGCCTTTCCCAGCCCGGCAGAGACAAGCACAGCACGTGATGGCATAAATAAAAATAAACACTCCTCATTCCCGGCCCGGGGCCACCCCACTCCGGGAGCGCGGGGAGCAGGGGGCGCCCAGCGCCGGGCACCCCACCGGCGCGGCTGCAGCCCCGCCCGGGCGCGAGCGCGAGCGCGGACCCGGAGCCTGGCCCTCGGCCAGCGCGCTGGCCTCCGCCCGTCCCCGCCCGCCCGGCCGGCGGCGCCCACCTCTCGGACTTGGTGAACTTCCGGAACGCCTGGCGGAGGTCGTGGAAGGACCTGTAGGTCTGCGGCTCGGCGGAGATGCCCTGCGCCCGGGTGGTCCGCGGGCCGATGTGCGGGGAGGGCACGGGCAGCACCGACTGGCATTTGTGGAGCTTCCTCTTGAGCTCCTGGATTTCCTCCTCCTTCTCTGACAGCCGCTTCTCCAGCTCTTTGATCCGCTCCTCTTTGAGCATGAGAATCTTGGCAAAGTCTTCCTCCAGCTCGCTCATGTTTTCCCCGAGCCCCGCTGCGAAACTTTTCTTCCGGCGGCGGTGGCGGCGCGGGGAGCGCGGAACGGGAGCGGGAGCGGGGAGCGGCGGGGCGCGGAGTCCCGGGGCGCAGAGGAGCGCAGCCCCTGCCGGTGCCCGGAGCCGCTCGCCGCCGGCCGCTTCTGCTGAATGGACTGAAAGCCCCGGAGCAGGATGAGGAGCCTGAGAGCGCCGCGGAGCAGAGGCAGAGTGCTAATCCCCAGCCTCTCCCGGGAGAAGGTGATTAGCTTTCATTGAGAAGCCAATTAGAGCTGCCCTTCCTCCCCTGAGACCCCCTCCCGCCCCGCGCCCCGTCTCCGGGAGAGCGCGCGCGCCCCCGCCGCCGAGCGCCCGGTCTGCGGCCGCGGCTGGGCTGGCGCAGTCCGGACTCACTCCATCACGCCAAACTCACTCTTCCGGGCTATATGGTACCAAAAGAAGGGAGTGGGATGGGTGGGAGGGGGAGCTGTATGCCACTTGATCCTTGAAATACCAACAATTACCATGTGATCTGGTGGATGACGCAGGGCTTGTAACTGGATCCTAAGGAGAGTGTGTGCCTGTGTGTGTGTGTGTGTGTGTGTGTGTGTGTGTGTTACTGTGAAATCCTGACATTAGGACTCTAGGTAAGAAGAATGACAGGGCAATAGTAATTCCAAGTTTTTTTCGCTTTAAAACTACTGGAAATTGTAAACTACATTTGTTGGAGGGGAAATGGAATGAATATATGATAAGGAGCCAAATGTTTACCGTGCGGTGCTTGTAAACCTTTAAGAGTATACATTTTAATCGTCCACAGTTTGGTAGACTGAACATCGAAGTTATGTCACGTCATCTTTCACAGTTTCGAAGTGGCTGAAGTGTTGAGGTGCCTAAGTGCTGGCTCACCCTAAATTCCGGGTTAGGGGAGAAACTGCATCTGTAATCATCTGAGTTTCTTTCTTACCTGAGCATCCTCTATCAGAGGGATTATTTCACCTATTTGATCCCAGATATTTGCTCATTCCTAGGCTTTAAAAATATGTGTGCTCTCTGGGCCACAGAGAGCATTTTTCATAACGTAAATCACTGTGAGTTTCTCTGGTGTGTAGGAGGGGCGTTTTCAGATATTCTCAACAAATCAATGTTTTTGTTTAACAGATGCAACTAAGACACATAAGAATTCTTTCTGAAATAGTAACTTTCCTTAAACAGAAAAAATCAATGTACAATGATTGGCTACTTTCAAAAACTTATTCTTCCTGGTCTGAAACTACTAAGGAAAAACAGGCATATAATTTAGTTAATAAAGGAATTCTAAAGTGTATTTTATTTTAGAGATTTCTTTATTATTTCCTGTTCTAGTCATCTGATTAATTTACATTACAATTACGATAAACCACATCCGAATTTCTTTGTGGTTCCAGATACCCAAGTAGGGCTGTATCTACTTATTCATTTTGGAAGAAAGGGTTCTCTGTGTTGTTTATGGTTACTGTTCCTTTGCTTCTCCCATATGAACAACTTAATCTGCTACCATTCTTTTAGAACAACCCCAAATAATAGGCATTTTAAAATAATATATAAAACCATAATGGTTTTTTAAAATTTAGAGCATAGTTTCAACTTTATTTTTGAAAAGAAGTATAGTTTTTAAATGACTCAAGACATTTTTCCCTTGTCTTTGTGTTGTTGTTGTTGTTGTACTGGGAATTGAACTCAGGACCTTGCACTTGCCAGGTAGGTACTGTGCTGCTGAGCTATATACCCCTAGCCCTTTCCCAAGTCTTATGCTATTTTAAATGAAAATATTCAAATATGTTTCCACTGCTATTAAAAAGAAATATTTAAACAAAGATTCTACTACATACTGCAAAACTTTAAATCCATTTCTAGGATAAAACAATTTTTAACAAGTCAGTTTTAACTTAAATATGGTTGGTACCTACTTAAGTTAAATCTTAGTTATTTCATTTCAAACCCAAAGAAAGCAGAAAAGCAGGCTGGTAGAATAATAAACATTGAGTTATTAAAACTCATATAATAGAAGTGCTGAAGTGACTTTAGAAGATGATCTAACTCAACCACCTCATATTATCAAGTGGAAAAATGAGACTGTGGAGAGGAGTCCAATATTACACTAGAACAGAAGTTGAAATGCAAAACTCCCATTCTGTTCTAGCTTGAACCTGAACATCTAGAAATTCTAGGATTTTAGCTGATCTAGTGCTCAAAGATGTGAAATTTCCCTTGTTGTAAGCAATTCTACATCTGTCAGCACAGAAATATAAATATTAATGAAACCTTAAGACCATTTTTTTTCTTAAAGAAGGTCGCCATCTAGTGCCATTGGAGAAGTTTGCTAAATAAAAATCTTAATCACAAAGTGGAGGTAATGTCCTTAAATACCTGTAGCAATGTCTTCATATTTTATATCTGAGAGAAATAAGGAAAACATTTTTTAAAACTAGACATCTTTTAGCCACTGCATAGTGATGACAATAAGCCAAATCATTATTGTTTACTTGTGCCCATACAGAGCTCAGCCCTTCGGTGTGCCTGGAGGCCCTCTTATGATTACTCAGTTCCATTGCACAGATGAATGACCTGAAGCTTCGTCAGTTTTAGTGTCTTTCCATAGTCATTTTGTCCAGATTTGACCTCAGCTGTCTGTCTTTGTATAACCCTCCTTCCACTTGAAGTGCATGAAATATGCACTTCTCTATGAGCCCAGTGACAAACATATTTCTGTTCATGGAGAACACATTAAGTTTAATATCTCATGAAAATTCAGTTCAAACACTTTACCAAAGTTTTTTCTTACAATACTTTGAGATGTAGTATACATTCCATGTATGATTTCAAATGTTTTTTTACATTAAAACAAGACTATGGGCTTTCAAACATATGACTGCTTTGTCTCCCTTTCTCTCTTCTATCTAGTAAGGAGCACTTTCTGAAGAAGCTGAAAGTTAAATATGTAAGTCATGCTTAAGGAATTCTGTCCTTTAATCTACATCTGTATTAGAAAGGACAATGGGAGGATGATAGCTATTTAAAAATGTAAAACAATAGTAAAGCTAAAAGTCTTATTTTTATTACCCATATCTTCTAGAATAGATAAACAATGCCAGTGAGAATATATTCCTCTGTGATTTAGATCTAAATTGCCCTCAAGCCTCGTGTGTTTGAAAGATAATTGGATCATGGGGTGCTGGACTCCCCAGTGAATCAGCCCCTGGATGAATTCACAGTGAATGTGCTGTTAGAAGCTGGATCCTAATTGATGAAGGTCACAGGATGTGTGACCCAGAAGGATGCATCTCCTTCAGGCTCCTCCCTTCTCTCTCTGCTTCCTACCTGGATGACACAAGCAGCTTTCTTCCACCCAGAACCTTCCACTGTGCCATTTCTGTGTTGGAGCTGGCTGGTCCGGTCCGAAGCTTCAGCAACTGTGAGCCAAAGAAAATTTCTCTTTCTTCAAGTTGTGGATGTCAGTAGTGCATCTCAACAAGTGCATCTGAAAAAGAGACTGAGACACATTCCTGCCCCTAAATATTCTGATGGTCTAAGATCAAACAAATGATTGTTACATTTCCTGCTGAGCAGGTGGACTGCTCCCGTTGTCCCATCCTGGATTAACCCTGACCTTGGCACATGTTGTAAGGATCCAGACCAAAGAACATGGTCATATGCAAGAACATGGTCATATACATTAGCAAGCTCTACATGAATGACAGCAGAAGAGTAGAGAAAAGAGGTGTGAGAAAGGAAAATAAACAGAGGGGTCTCACCTTTTGGAACAAATGAGGTCAACAAGATCCAAACAACTTCTCTTGGTTGCAGAAAAGGAAGTTCTTGTGAAAGATTGCTTCTAACACATTTTCTATCCGGGGACACAATGACTGAACTAAAAAGAACACTAGATTTAGAGCCCAAAGGTCAAGAGTCTTATCTCCTTGCCATCACTTCTTGAGCTGTGTGATCTTAAGCAAATACTTTAGCTTCTCTGGAATTCACTTTCCTCGTGTTTTTAAAATGAGGAGTTACCCACTGTCCGTTCCCTTTCTACCTACAGCGAGTCTGTGGAATTCCATTTTCCCTGTGACACATTTAGAAAGTATGAAATTGCCTTTATAGAACACTACTGCACCAAAACTTCCAACTGGGTTTAAAACACTGAGAAAACACAAAGGTACAATGGAGTCTAGTTGATCCTGGACCGTTTAAAGTGTAATCTTTGGTTAATAGGAAATTCAAGAGCTGGGGATTTAGCTCAGTGGCATAAGCGCCTGCCTTGCAAGCAGGCATTCGTGAGTTCGATCCCTGGTACCAATAAAAATGAAAAAAGACAAAAAAAATGTATAAAAAAATAGGAAGTTCGAGTATTTTCAGTTCATTCTAGATTGTATACTACATGCAGCCCAGTCAACATTTTTTCACTTCAGCTAGCCATATTCTGGTGACTATAGATTGTGGTCATGCATCGGACAGAAACACACCCACATCTCCATTAACCACCTCACAGGACACAAAAACAGCAAATGAAATATGTTCCGTTAATGAAACAAACTTCAATTTTGTTGCATTACATTTATCACATTTACATAAGGAATATTAATAGTCATAATTTTTTAAAATAACCCTATAGAAAAGTATAAATTATAAAAGTATAAATCACTAGATGATCCTATTGATGTAAAAAATTATTTCTTGTGCTGCAAGAGCATTCCCTCATGATTTTCTATGATATCTTTGTGTAGATTTGAAAAAATAAATCTTCCTATAACACTTAAAACACAAAACTGAACTAAGAAAAAAGGACAAAACATTTTAGAGCTCAAATTCAGTTTGTTAAAAACCTTGGACTGGGAATATGGACACAGAGAGGTCAGGTTATTTGAGGCTAATAATTTCATCTCTCTAAACTTGGTTATCCCAATTATACAGTGAAGATATGGATACCAAATTCTTCTGCACTCAAATTCTCAGAGATGAAAGAAAAATGTTTTCATTTAAATATAGCCCATAAAAATAAATCAGAATGGTAATGTAGTCCTACATTGTTGACTTTGATGGGAGGATGGCTTAGTTGGAGAAGAGTGTATGAGACAGGGACAGCTTTGGTGATGGTGGTGGCATTAGGCACGCTGTACCCATGCCCCGAAAAGCTCTCACCCCCTCACTGTACACATACATTATTCAGTCAAATGCTAATTAAGTGCTCTTGCGAAGGGAGTTTACAAATGTATGCAACATCCCAACTCTGTAGACTTTAAGATCATTATCTGGGAGGGGCTAGCGTAATTAAGTGAGGCCTTCAGCAGGATTAGGCTCTTTCCAAGGTAGAGACTGCAGTGCGACTGGGATGTGACTCAGAAGCAATTCTTTGGCTTTAAAGATGGGGAAAATCGCATGGAAAGAAATCAAGGTTGATGCTCGGGGTTTACAGAGACAGCCAGCACGGAAATGGGGACCTCAGTCCTACAACCACTAAGAAATGAATTCTGTTGCAGCTAATGAACATGAACTGAAAAGAGGATGTTCAGCTTCAGAAAAGAGCACAGCATGATTGGTGCCTGGATTGCAGTTTAGCAAGACCCTGAGCAAAGAATCCAACCAATGTTGTGTCCAGAATTCTCACTTCCAAACCTGTAGATAATCAGTAGGTATTGATTTAAGTGTTAAAGTGTGTGGTAATTTGTTAGGCAATTAATAAACTACTCAACTACCATTCAAAGTGAAGTCTATTAAAAGTGCCAGATATGTTTTATCATTCTCAGAGGTCTGATTTTCCCAGTTATTTTCAGTGAAACTATAATGAACTTCAAATGGATATTTGAGGACATAAATGGTAATTACAAATTACAAGCTTCTAGCAGTGGTGGCAAATCTATGGCATGTATGCCACAACAAGCTATTTGTTATTACTGAAACTTCTACAAGGTTCGCCATTCCCATATTAAAGCATAGTGATGACAGTATGAACAGCCTTTTGAATATGTCAAACTCCCTTCCATAAAAGATGCTTATGTTTAAAATTATACATTATTCTAATTGACATGTAAGTCCTCCCAAATGCAGGTTCTAAAAGGGATTGGATTCATTCATTAAATTACTCCAGAGAAGAAGTGTAACTATAATTTATCTTGAATAGTGAATTAACTTTGTGATCTTAGACAAAGATCTCAATGCACTGAATGCAGTTTTGTCATCTGGAAAATATCAATAACTCCTTTTTTGTAGTATTATTTATTTTTGGCAAATGGTTCAACGATTGGAATATATTTTTAAAATCTTGGATTATTATTGATTAACTGAATGCATTTTCATAGTTACACGTGAAAATTTAATCGTCACCTTCCAGGATCAAATACTAATGTCAGATGTTTGAGGAAAGTAGGGAAAGACTACAAATTCTTTTTAAAGTTTAGTTTTTATTTGATTTGACTTCTTAGCTAGGTTTTTTTAATGAAAGAAATTGGAGTAATTTGTTCGAAATTTTTAAGATAAATTCTTTTTAATAGGAAAATCACATACGTGAAACAATTTTAAAAGTATCATCAAAGAAGATACAATGAAAAGTAACTCTCTCATTCATCCCTGTTCTCTGCAGTCATTGGCCAGTACCATTTCCTTGTGTAACTCTCATAAAATAATTCCCCTTGTAGTAAGTATATCTGTCTATAAACTCACATTTCCCAGAAATACGATTTAATGCCTGGTTTGTATGCAAGCCCATTACTGCACTTAACCTAGAGCTATTATTTCCTGATTTTCAGGATTGTTAATCAAATGCAGCATATCACATTGTCCCACTTTGAGACAAAATGCTCAGTAACGTGGCAGGAACACTGCTGAATTTAGAGAGTGTGGACCATTCTCTCATGTAGGCATTATGTAAAGATTTCCTTTCCTTTTAAGAAATTCAGACACTTCTTATGTATTAATCATATTTAATAACTTCAGAATGGCATAATGTTTTATGAACAAAACCAGATATGATTCTGTATGTATTTTTTAGGAATATTTTGAACCTCTGATCTTAGCCCTTCTAACTTGCTCTTTGTTAACAGAGACATTCATCTGTTCTTATCTTAGAGTGTTTCAAATCAATAGTTTCTATGTAAAAATGTTAAACCTTTGCTACGCATAAGGTGCAGTCTATAAGCATTTTAAATCTGTTATAACTAATTTCTTGGTCTCCTGTTCAGAATTCCATAGTTATTTCAGTTATTCATGTTCGCTGTATCTGATTCAGTGAGGGCAGATTTATTTGAAAATAAGTTTGTCAGAATGTCTAGACATTTATTAGAAAAACAAATTATGATTTCCTTTTATATTTGTTAAAAATTAATTACACAGCTGTGGTATTCCAGGATATATTAAGACCCATATTCATAGGTAGCACTTCTTAGTATCACATTGATTAGATTTTTCAAATCAGCACTCTACATGGCCCCATTCCAGCAGCATTCATAAACATGGAACACATGAAAGCAACAGTCAAAACTTCCCTATAGGAATTTTAGAATGTTAGTTATCAGGTCTTCCTCTGCACTGAGAAACATTTTGTCTCAGCACGGTCTCCCATTTCAGGTCATCCGTTTCAGCCATCACAGTCTGCAGGGAGCAGAGAGGCGGCAAAAAGCCCAAAGATATTGAACCAGGGAGACACGGTACCCGCTGCCCTTCATTCAAGTCTTCAGCTAATAAAGAGAGATCACTTTACAGTGCATAAAGAGGCAGACATTACTCAGACTGTGGCTAAAACCATCAGCAAGGAACTCTGCCAGGAATGCCCTAGGGTAACAGGAAGTGGTGCTGGCGTGTTATGTGTGTGAGCGCACACACGTGTAGCAATTTCAATGACTGCCTTTCCTCCAAATCCTTTCTATAGCTTGGGTGTATCCGTCAAAACCAAGTCTTTCTTTAAAATCGTCAACCGAGAACATTTGTACAGTTTACTGTGAAGAGCAGAAACAGAAGGCTAAGAACACCTGGGAAATGCCACAAGTGCAGAGGGTTAGGGTACAGTGTGTGGCGATCAATCAGGACCTACAACTTCCACCCCGCATAGTCAGACAAACTGATTTATCTTTGGTGCAAATGTCAAATTAACATTCTAAGAAAGTACAAGAGACCATTTACGCCAACAATCTTTTTGTTGACAATATGAATCTGGCATTCTTCCTGTGTGAGGGAAATTAAGGGGAAATGTTTGCAGAACCCGAGCAGGTGTTCTTGGTTTACATGCGTTTGACAAATGTTTGTGCACACTTTCCTGCAGGTCACAGCCACTCTGCTGGACACTTTAGACAGAAATCAGTAAGGCAGAATATCGGCCCTTGAGAGGGATTGCTAGGGCATGAGGAAGAGAAATAGGCAGAGCACAGATGATTCTTAGGAATTCTGGAATATTTATTCTACATAAATATTCCTTAAATACTACAGTGATGGGTACATGGCATTATATATTTGTCCAGATCCACAGAATGTACAATACCCCACCATGTGCTCTTTTGGTCCCAGTTTGTCAAGAGGCTGAGGCAAGATTACTTGAACCCAAGAATTTGAGGCTAAATGGGCAAAATAGCAAGAGATTACACATCCTTGAAAAAGAGAGTAAAGTCTAAATTATGAGCGCTGGGTACAATGATAATAAGGGTTTATCAGTGGTAGAAACTATATGACTCTGGTGGGATGTTGGTAGTGGGAGAGGCTATGTCTTAGTTACTTTTTCATTGCTAAGGACAAAAATACCTGATACCCAAAGTTGAAGGAGAAAAGGTTTAGTTTTGTTCACATTTTGTTTCAGGCCATCATCAGTTGACTCTAAGGCAGTGCTGCATGTCAGACGTGGCTTGCCGAGGAGAAACAGTGCATGGTGGGCAGAAAGAAGGTAACAGAGCAACGAGGTAGTGAAGAAGCAAATCTAAGTGAACTTAGCATCTTCTTTGTGCCCCTTTATGTTCTACCTGACTACCAGGGTTAGGGTGGGTGCCACCAATTAGTGGACTGATTTAGTAATCACAAACCTCAATTCCAGCATCACACACTTTAGATTGAGCCATGTCTGAGCCAGCTCTATCTTTGACTCCAAGAGGCTTTGGGGTGACATCTAGATGCAAGCCCTAAACAAGCTGTGAGTATGGGAGGACACAGGTATGAGGGAGCTCTATTCCTTCTGGTCAGTTGTGCTGTGATCCTTAAAGTTAAATGAGTAACTAAATAACAAAACAGAAATAAAGACACTCATGAGGATGCAGGGGGAGCTACTTAGTGTTAAGGGACATGGAAGTGTAAGTGACTAAAATGAAAACTCTAAAGAGATTTCACCTTGGCTTTTTCTCAGTGTGTTATTATACTACAGAGGAAGGGAGGCAAAAGAATGAAGCGTGTGTGTGTGTGCGTGTGTGTGTGTGTGTATGTGTGTGCACATGCACATGCATGTATGGATGTGAGAAAAACAGAAGAAGGACATAGGCATAAAAGTCACCAACTAGAATAATTTTTAATGCTAAAAAATGATGACACTTAGAAAAATAAAAATAATTATGATATAGCTTCACAAATAGATTTATCCACAAATTCAGTGAAATCATAACAATAGTGTAAAAACAGAAATGAATTGATTTTTAAATTTATATGACACAGATGCTTCTTAATTGTGACAAATGTTTGAAAAACAAATATTCTGCTCCCCACTCATCAACTATTTAATGTATTCTAAAGTCATATAGCATGCCAGGACTTGGGGGACCAACCAAGAAATCAAGGATCCAGCCTTCCTGGTAAGCAACGCAAGCTGCACATGCTCCAGGAAAAGAAAAGCCAGCATCTTCCAAGAATTTGCCATGCCAGGTCTTGGGGAACCAACCAAGAAATCAGCAATCCAGCTTTCCTGGTAAGCAGCACAAGCCTACTAGCACCATATGGGCTGAGAATCAAATCAAGCCTCCTCCCCTCCCACTGCAACCCCTATAGTAACCCGCTGGTTCCTAGGACAGACTGAGTTAATAGCAGCTAAGATACATAAAGCAACTAAATGCTTGTGTTGTTTGGTTGATTATGCAACGCTGGGGCCAGTGATCTGAGTGTCTCTTGGGAGGTTGATGGTATGCAATATAGCAAATATAGCAGATTTTCTTCTATCTTGTCTTTGAAGTCCAATACTGTTTTCACTGTTTTGCTTTGTTCCGATTCATTGTTTTGCTTTATTCAATATTCTGTTTTGATTGATTTTATTGTTTTATCTTTGGTTTGATTTTGCTATACTTGATGGAATAGACAACTACTGTGGAGATAACAAGATATACTATGGTAGCTATTATTGTTTTCCCAGCATCCTGTTTTGAAGTTCTGTACTTGTTTTCTGGGCAATGAACTAGTGTTGGAAAATTAGGCCAAAAAACTGTGTAGTATATATTATAAATATGCACTTGTTAATTCAAAAAACACTTACATAGACAACAGTTTCCAATTTTTTATACTGTGGCAGAATATAAATAAAATTTTCCATTTTAGTCATTTTAAGTGTACAAATTCAGTGGCAGTAAGTACATTCACATTATCATTATCACTTTTCATCTTCATTTATCACCACTGACTTTTCTAAAATGAAAACTGGGACACAGGTATGAGGTCTGACTACAGCTTACCTCATTTAAGTGGAATCATATGGCACTTGTCCTTATGTGACTGGCTTGTTTTAATGAGCATAATGTCATCAAGGGTCACTCACAAAACATGTGTTAAGTTTGTGTCTGTATGTCTCCCCAAAGCCTCATGTGATCACGGCGAGCAGGACTTTTGAAGGCTCCTGAGTCTAGCATTTGTGACTGGTTCATTGTCTATTACTAGGATTAGCAATGTGAGTGCCAATCCTAGCAATAGCTAAAGCTAGCTAAACCCACCCAGGGGCAGCAAGCTGGCATACAGTATAAGGAAGGGAAGGAGGCATGCTTTCCCTCTTTTGCCCTTTTCACTCTTGATGGTTGCAGCTGCCATGAACAGCTGCCCCTCAGCCATGCCACCCTGCCTTGGAGCCAGCTGAGTACAGACTGAAACCTCCAAAAACTGTGAGCTAAATAAACCTTTCCTTTCTTCATTTTGGAGGTCAGATATTTTGTCTCAGCAGTGAAAAAAAATTTAACCAAGACAGTATGTGTCAGAATTCCCTTCCTATCTAAAGTTATATGTTCTATTTTACACATGCACACACGCACACACACACACACATATGTATATGTATATAAAGTTGTATTTATCCATTCATCTGTCAATAGAAGCCTGGGTTCCTCCCATGTCCTGGCTTTTGTGAAAAGTACTGCTATGAACACTGATAGCCAACTATCTGTTTGAGTCTACTTGCTTTTGGCCACATACCAAAAGTGGAATTCATTAACTATATGATAATTCTATTTTTAATCAAGATAAGGTCTTATAAATGCATGAAATACAATTGATATCTATAACATACAAAGAATTCTTAGAAGTCAATAAAATAATGAAATTTCAGTAAAACTTTTAAAAGATGCTCATTTTCATTAATAAAGTTGAACTTTTGTCTATGCATTTGACAAAATTTTTAATAGTGATACATCTTTAATATCAAAGGGCCCATATGATTACTAAGGAGGGTATAAGTTGTAAAAAGCCTGGATAGCAAGCAGTAGCCATTGAAACTCTGCATTTACTCAGCAGTCTTACTTCTAAAAATTAAAATTATAGAAATGAAGATTCATGCCCTTATACAAACTCTTTTCTGCTTGTAAATGAAAACCTTAAATAATTAAGCAAATAAGTGATTGATATCACAGTTACATTATGAAATTTTGTACAACCATTAAAAGAAGGAGGTAGAACTTTAGCAAGATTTGAAATTTAAAAAATGGAAAAAATTTGTGACTTGATTTACATGATATGTAAAATATATGTATATTTATTTAAATTTATGTCAGGCTCATCAATTATCACCATGATAACGAGGAGTAGGAGTGAGGAAGGTGAAGGAAAACTATCATGTGTTACAATATATGCAATATTTATAGTGAGAATGTATTAGTGTATGCTGTGTATAATCTTTATAACATTAAGGGATAACTTAGGTGCAGCAAAGCGCACTTGGCTAATATGAAGAGTTTGGGCAGATATGACTGTATCTGAAATGTACTACAAAGACTCCTGGGTTGGGCCCTGCTGTAGTGCTGCCCAAAATTGTGAAATTTTATTTATCTATTTATTTATTTTTCAGAATTGTGAAATACTTAAAGAAAGGAAAGAGTGGAAATCCAGGCCATTATCATCACACCCTTGAAATAGAAGATTTCAAGATTTCTGCTCTCTCTTTTTCTATTTCTAGCATGACATACGGGGCTTTTTCTGCCACACACTCCCACTATGATTAAATGCCTCACCACAGGCTCAAAAGCAATAATGCCAACCAGCTGTGGACTAAAAAGCCCAACCATGTGAGCCAAAATAAACCTTTTTCTCTATATACACCAAAATATCTCAGGTACTTGTTGCAGTAATCAAAAGCTGATTACCACAGATACTTGTAACCATGAAACTGTTACTGCAATCTAGGTACCAAATTGTGAAAATTTAGAAAATTATTAAATTTCCATGGTTTCAAAATATATGAATATCTCAATGTAAGCTTTGCTCATTAACAGTGTTCAGACACAGCAAAAAAGTCACCATTTCCTTTGCCCTTCTCTTACATTTATTCAGTATCTACATGACAAATGCGTCACCCTAAAATATACCCTCTAGACCGTTAAACTTAATATTCACTACTTTTCACTAATTCCTTAGGCTTTTGGCTAGCACCTCTAAAGAAATAAAATAAATGGGAAACTGACATTTCAATAGGTTTTACAAGTGATCTAATTTAATTTCCTTCACACATGGAAATATCCTTTCTAAAACACCTTTAGAGATCACTGCATGTATCAATGGCTAGCTTAGTTAAATAATTCATTCATATAAATCAGGATTTAATCAACCTCAGCACTATTGATATTTTGAGACAGGTAATTCTTGGTGGGGCGAGTGCTACAGGATGCTTAGTAATATTTCTGGCCCCTTCCCACTAGATGCCAAATATCACCCTCTCATCTTGAATTATTAAACTAAAAATATCTCCAGACATTGTCAAATAGAAATTGCCATTACATATATGATGCATGCTAAGTTGAGACCCACTTATATAAATTGATGGTGAAAGTTAATCATTAAAATTAATTCATATGTGGAACATTTCAAATAATCTTCATCTGAGCTTTTAACCTGAATCTGTATCTGCTTTTAGCAAACCAAGGAATAGCAGAGAGGTAGCTTCTGTCATATTATAATACTAAGAGATTGACTGTTAAGAGAGAGAGTTATAAGCTAAATACAGCACTGGAAAGAAAAACCCATTGCATTCTTAGCCAGAGCTTCCTGTTCCCTGTGTCTCTGACATTCTCATCTAGCAATTTCAAAAAGTTATACTGATAACTCCAGATTTTATATGATGCCCTCTTCATGTTTGGATTTCAAGTTAATTGTCAAAGAATGGAACAATGAAAGAATTAATGAGCCATTTTCACTGAGCTTTGATATAAAAGTTAACATACAATGACTAGATATAGACTCTATCCAAGAAAATAAAAGAGTATTAGCAATTACAGTATTAACCCACTCTTTATTTCCTTAAAATATCCTTTAAAGGTGCTTTCCAATTTTTCCCCCCTATGTAATTAATGAAAAAGTGATGTATATGCAATGTGCAGAATTTTCCTCCTTAAACATTTACTTTAAATCCCAATAAATAATAAATGACATCCTTTAAGATTTGATAAAGACCTCTTTTCATAATCATTGAAACAATAAAAGGTTAGCCAATAATTTAATGTTTTGGTAAGTAGTTAGAGATGTAGTGATATAATTTGCTAGGATGGTACTTGAAAAGTTTTGATTATTTAGTAGTAAGCAAAATAATATGACTTTTCTGAAAACAATAGTGTATATAAATTTATATGACTTTTCTGTAAACTAGAATTTATAATCACTTCCAGTAAACAAAACATAGAACCAATTACTGAAATGTCTGTTATGGGAAATTTAAAATGTTAACTTAGTTCTTAGTTTTATAGCTGTGCATGACCTGACTTTTAAGATAAAGTATCTTCATGCTCAATTATTAATAACAGATTAATATGTTATCCTTGTTTTCACTGAACAGTGTATGGAAATACCATGCTAAATATATAACTGTACATTACATTCTTATATATTACATTCATATATATATATATATATATATATATGTATATGCTACACTCTTAGAGCTCCCTAAATGTTACATCCTTGGCTATTACAAATTGGGAAAGATCTATAACCTCTCTAAGTCTCATGTCTCCTCATGTGAAAAATGGGGATAATAGTATGATAGTTGTAACTTTATTACTGAGTGATTTTAAAATTAAATAGTAGTGGTGTGATAATACTAAGAGCAATTTCTCAGCACAGTACTTAATTTAAATAACATTAAATGTCTTCATGTATTTCTAGGTAGAATTATTGTGTCATAGTAAGTTTTGTCTAGAAACTTACATGAATACTGTTCTAACTGTCACACATCATTTTGGAACTGTGTGCTGTGGTAGTCCCTTATACAATTCCTTTCTTGTATCCATGTTTGTAGTCGGTTCCCTTTCATGTTGATGAGGCTTATCCGTGTAACTTGGTTTGGTTAATGGAACATTAGTAAATGTGGTACTACCGAGACTTGAAGAGTGTTCATGCATTTGGAATTTTCCCACTCTTACTAGTGCTGGGAAAATTGTGAGCACCACCTAGAGAATCAGCCCTATCCACTGCATGGTAAGTGGAACACGATCCAGTTACCTCTACTGTCCTTGCAAACAGCTACCAGACATGTAAGTGAGATCATCAGCCCCTCACTGACTGCAAGTTTCTGAATGAGCCCAGCCAGTACAGTCAGGAGCAGAGACCACTGAAGCTGAGCTGAACCCAAATTTATGACACATAGAATGATAAATAAAATGATTATTTTTGAAGCCACTCAAATTTAAAATGGTTTGTTACACAGCAAGACTAAATGATGAAGTCCCTGTAGGCAATATAAATTAGTACTAAAAAGTTATAATTCAGAATGCAGTTAAATTTACATTCCTAAACTTAAAATACTGACTCACCAATAAAATGGTATAAAAATAATAGCAATAGCATAAAGGAATAGAACTAATAAACTGACACCTGTCTTTGATTTTAAACATTGGACAGTGATATGACATCTAAAGGTAAAATTTTTTTCCATAGAACAATTAGAATAGACAAATTTTTCTTCAGTAGTAACTCTGGTCTATGGAGCAGTGACATCTTTTGCTGTCATGTTTAGAGATCCAGGTCATTTCCAGTTTTGATGGTGGGCAGGATTACATATGCATCTTATTATTTGCAAGCTTAGTCACAGATTAGATGTATACTTGGAAAACTTGTGCGAAGTGTCCAGTATTTATACTGCCTATCTCTCTACAAGGCCCAGAGTTAAGACTTATTTTTCATTTATTAGCAACTTTTTGAACATTTTCAGTTGAAATTGTGAAACTGTCATTAAAAAAAACATGACAATACGTGCTTGTCCTCACTAAAAAGATAGACTTCCCTTTTAAGAGCGCAGAGAAGGATGTTTGAATATAACCACTCTGATTCTCTCCACCATTCTAATTCCACAATAATAGCTGCAATTTAGTGGTTATCACCACAGGAATGAACAGCCAGGAAGAAGGCTCCTGATGAAGCCTGCTGACTTCTTTACTCTCTTAAAACATTATATAGAGGCGAGGTCATGAGTTCGATCCCAGGACCAAAACAAAACATCATCTAAAAAAGATGTTTGCAAACGCAACAGACTAACCAGAGTCAATGCAAGAAAGAAGTAAATATATAAAAAAAACTGCCTGACTAATTTAAACCAATGTTTGTTGTAGTATTCTACTTTCTTTTTATTACTGATATTACTATTACTATGACTATTATCATTACTACTACTATATTAGCCTGTTGAGAAAAGATGTGTCTGTGGTACATTATTTCCAAAAATCACTACGATAATTCTCTTCCCATATTTATGGCTTTGGGAAACCCCCCTCACATGACTCTAGGTTATGCTACGTAACGTGCTCTGGTCAATGGGAAAATAATAAATGTGACACAAGCTTAGACTTGAAAGTCTTCATGCATTTGGGATTTACCCTCTACACATGAAACTTTTCTCATATTCTCCCATAGTTCCAAATAACCCCTTATTAATAGCTCTTATTAAGTATTCATTATGTGCCAGATGATATGCTAGTACTCTGCATAAGTTAGCTTATCAACTTTAACCTCATAATTCTAAGGTAGGCCACATGCCCATTTCACAGATGTGGCAACTAAATATTAGTTAAAGCATTTTGTCTGATATTATACTATATCTAGGTTATGGAGCCAGTTTGGGAACCTGGATTCGGTGATTAAAAGTGCAGTCTGTTTGCCCACCAAGCATCATGCCTCCTAGCATTCAAATGCGTTTCTGTGTGTCCTTCAAGCCACGTCCTTGGATATAAATTCCCATATCAGTATCTTTAGCATAGTGATCTTGAGCAATTTCCTTAACATCTGTAGACTCAGGTACCTCACTAACATGGTTTGCACTCAAAGTTACAGAGAGATAAGGATGACTTACTTGAAATCATATAATTAAAGCTGGGCTTAACAGACTGGTTCATAAAGGTTGATAAAGGAGAAGCCTTGGATGCAGGGACATATCACAAATGGTAAAGAACTCTGATCCTGGTGAGGGTAAGTTATACCCACCCCTAAAATGTAGGAGAAAGGGAGGGGCTTAAGAGATACTGAGAAAAAGGGTATTTTGAAAAGCTCAGAGAAATCAGGACAAAGTCCCAGCCCGAACTAGGGAAAGAATAATGAAGGCTTTGGAAATGATTAGTGTCCATCACTCGATCTTCTCTTACTCTGATCTCCTGCCAGTGCTTCCCAACAGCAAAAGTCATAGAAACCCCAGGAAAAAGCAGCCCTACTGAGGTTCATGTGTGTCAGCTTCCCAGATCAGAAAACAAGTGGAGAAGTTAGAAATAGAATTACAGGAGCAAATAGAAGACAGTGAGTCACATACGGGAATAATATCCCCTTACAGATTTTTAGCAATGACTAAACCACCTAAGGGACATGAAACATTATGCATAGTCTAGAGTCAATAATGTTAAGTACTTTAACTCATCACACTGTGCTCTAGGCACTGTGGAGTTGAGCCGCGTCATAAGCAAGCATACAATCCAGTCACCGTCATGCGAGGCATGCTATGGTGCTTTGAAGCAGAGGCTTTGATTACACTGGAACTGACATCCAGGTATATCTAGAAAAGCCTGGGGAATTGGTATAAAGAGGGTCTTCATGTTGTTTTTAAAAATATCCCTTTGGATCTTACTGGCAATCACTCATCCTAATGGGAAAAGTAGTAGCATACAAAAGTTTAGTCAGTAACAGAGCCTCAGATGTCAGAGGGAGGCACGGACAGTGTGTGGTGTTTGACAGACAACTGAACTCCTAGCCCAGCCTTTAGGATCTTTGAACTGAGTCCAAAGTGGTGAAACTGGGAAATCTGAAAAGGAAAAAGTGCTAAAAACTTGGAGGTGCTGAAGGCGCAAATGTAACTGAGAGTATTAAGAGGCATTCATCCCCACTTTACAACAGTACCCTACCAGGTTGTGGTGGTGGCAGAGACGGGAGACTACAGCGGGAGGCAGGAGGAGGTAGGAGCCACAGTGCCTACCTTCTCCATCAGGTGGAGACGGAAAAGAATAGGAAGTGGTGGAGGCCATGGAATGCATCAAAGTAGGACAGAAGGAGAGGAATATAGAAGCAAAGCTACAAGATGACAGAGCCGTCATGTTTGCATTCTTGTCAATCTTTAGGGATACTCCAGAAATATTGGGAAAAGCAGGCTACCAAGAGTGTCTTGAGAAAGAAAATAGCAATGCTACAAACCACAATAACATACAATATAAAAGGGCTAATTGCTTTTAACCTTTTGGATGTCATGGCCCATCAGAGAGGTAAAAACTCTTCCTACACATTGTTAAGGGCTAATGCCTGATGTATGACTTCTGGAGTGTTTAACATAACTATATGTAAAGTACTATAAAAATCTGAAGACAAGCAATAATCTGCAGTATCATTAGGACTTACGCAAGTTTCCTCAATGTAGGTAACATTGACCTGGGCACTGAGGAACTAATACGACTTCACATAAAGACAAAAGCAGTTTATAAGCTAGGAGGGTGAAAGCCTTAGGGTGGAAGGAACAGTCTGATGAGGATACAGGAAAACTACACAGTATGAGTTTGAAAACAGCAAACAACCTGGGTTTAACTGACTGAGATTCTAGAAAACCAGCCTTGAATGTGTTTTTAAGGGCATGAAACACCTCTGATTGAGGGGCTCAGCACAGTAAGGAATTAAACATTTAGAGGGGGGAAATGATAGAAGTTATGAGCTTAATGAATATATATGCCAAAGTAAAGTGAGAAGCAACCCAAGCAAAGAAAGTGCATCAGGATTTCTGTTAAAACTTTGTTGATAGAAAATAAGTGCATATATTATTTTTAGGTGTCAAACATTGACATTAATAACATCGTGATCGTTGTTATCATCTATTTAGTGCTGAGCCCATGTGACATATGCTACCTTAAATAGCTTTTCAAGTGGCTCTATGGACTCAACATTTTTATTTCCATCTTATTGATAGATAAAATAAAAAGGAAATGTGGCCCACACTCCACACACAAGTCATATTTTTAACCTAAATCATGCTCTTAATCAAAAATAAGAAGGATCAAAATTCCCCTGAAAAATGAATTCAGGGGAGATAAAATTTTCATAGAAGTAACTGTTTAAGAAAAAGATTATAGATTCTCAAATTGAAAACAATTTTTTTTATTAATGTGCCGGAAGCAGTTTATAAATTAACTTTTAAAATAGTTCTCATTACTAGCATCCATTAAGACCAAGTCAGGAAAGCAAATGACTGTCACAACAGTAATTGAATTAGCACCACAAAGCAAATAAGCGAGAACCATGTTTGAAAGAGACCAGGATGAATTACGACTGAAGTTCCTTTGGACAGGAGCTTTGAAGCAAGCACTCTGTCTGTACCACCATTAAAATATAAAGAACTTTCCAGAGACACTCGGGACCTGGTACACAGTCGTGAGTGTGTACTCAACTTCCACAAGTGATTAAATGAGGAAATAACTCAGAGAATGATCTTTCTTAAAATTCAAGGAAGTAAATAGCAAGAAGGAAAGCTACGGAATCTTTTACCCAGAATAAATACTCATAAAATGTCTAGCAATTTGATTTAAATCATACCGAGGTATATTCAGCCACCATCTCTGCGTGCCGTACCCTATCCTGCCACCTGAAAGCTCTCACACAGATCTCTGTGTCTTTAGATTCAGACAGACCAACTCTCCTGACCATAATTTTTGTCCTTACCCGTGGGCATGCTCACTCATTGTGCTGAGCCCCTCCATCAGAGGGGTTTCATGCTGAACATGCCCTTAAAAAGAATTCATATGCCAGCTATTTTATCCACTAGATAGTACAGCAGCCTATCAGAGGTTATGAATTCTTCAAAGGCTAAACCTGAGTGAAAAACTTTATTGACTTTTCTTATTACAAAAAAAAAAAACATAAAATGTAAGCATTATTTACACTGTATCAGTTTCATTTATTATTAAATTGAATGTTTTTCTATTGTTAAGTTTATGGATCTATTGTAAGATGGAGAGAGAGATTTAGTAAAGCTAACTCAATGCAGACAAATAACTCTCTTTGAAATCCCATTGTGATAAATAAGACCAATTAGGGAATGCTAAAGCTGTTAGGTAAAAGTTTACTGAGATAACCTTAGCATATATTTTTTCACAGTGGCAAAGTACCACAAGGAGCCTTACTTACCAAATGCATACATGTTACTTAATAATGGCTAAAGGGAAAATGAAAGTTTACAACAGAGAGATCTGGAGTTAGCATATTTACCAGGTGGACAGGCTTAGGACGATGACCCTGAAACAGTTTGAAATGAACTTTCCCCATTGTGGTGACACATGAAATATGCAGTGTCAATGTCACGTAGTCTTACAAAAATGTTGGCACTGAGCTTAGTAAAGAATCTAGACCTAAGTTCTGCTTTATGAAAAATACAGGAGATGAAACAATAAAAAATCAACCCACAATGGAAGCATTCTAAAATATGCAAAAACTCATTGTCATGCCAAGGAAAGATTGTGCACTACAATGTAAAAACAGAAGGCTGAATTCGAGTCATTTGTAGGAGAATGAATGTACCTGGGACCATATTAAGGTAAATAAATCAAACACAGCAGCTTAAATATCACATGGGTTCTCTTGGATGAGAAACCCAAAATATAAAGAGCAAAATAAAAAACACATGATGGGAGTTAGAGAGATTTTTTTCAAATGGTAAGTGTAACAAGAGATGAAAGTAGAGGGGGAAAGGGGGACGGAAAAAGTATAACTAAAGGAAAAGTGTTAATAGAGCTTTGGCAAATGGGAAGGGGTCCAAGTGAGGAGAGAGCAGGGAGGAATGGGAAGGGAAGGGCACAAAAGGATTAAGATGTGTTATGTACATGTGCCAGCTCCCCACAGGAAATGTAATTAATGTGCACCACATAGTTATGCAAGCATGTACTAAAAAATAACTTAATTAAAATTGAAATTGCCACAAGAAAATCAACAACAAACAACACAGAGATGGTAGGAAACAGGGAGGTAGACTTTATGGAAATGGGAGAAGAATCTGGATGGAGGGAGAGGGCAGGACCAGGATGGCAAGGAAGGAAAACTGATCTTAATGCAAAATGTCTATGTACCATTTCCCCAAGATGGACGGAAATATTATGGACTGCAAACATGTACAGATAAAAATAAAAATAATTTTTTTAAAAATGGTAAAATGAGCCAGGCTAAATATATTCTTGTTTGAAAGATAAGCTACAAAAAGTTCTCAAATTGGGCTGGATTTTACAAGGTGTTAGATAAGTTGTGTTAAATTTAAGTGTGAAAAAGGGGTTAAGATTATGTAGGAGATGCAAACTGAGGGGTAAAGGCTATTGCATTACGATACTCAGCAGCTTATTTAAAATGTTCCAGCCTCACCAAAAGGGAGATACTACACATTTACTTATGTAGATAGGAAAATGGCACACAAATATGGCAGAAAATAAACTCTTGAATTTGGGTGAAAGGTATAAATGTATAGATTAAACTATTTCATCAAAATTATGTAGGCCAAAAATTTTTATAATAGAAAGCTGATGGATACTCTGACTATATAAAGCCTCATCAAAAATTACTATATATTAAAACGTTGCTACCTTGGAAAGAATCTATAGATTTGACTATTACTTCAAAAGAATTTGAGTGTAAGCATAGTAATTTCATGATACTAACAGCAATGCAAACTACATAGATTATTAGTGCTAAATTTAAAATCAGAATCATACAAATATTGAATTGTTTACACCTAAAACTGATATCTGATATAGGGAACAAGTGTATGTTAATACATTTTATCAAATGTGAGATTGAACTGAAAAAAAGTGCCTATGGCTTATGAGTTTTTAAAATGAACCTGGGCCAGTAGAACTTGAATTCATAACACTTCTTTCAATCAAATGAAACCCAAGCCTCTCTCACCCTCCAGATTCCAAAGTATTAATATCACATCTACTACTTAAACATTTTCTTTATGTGAATACAAAGAACTCTGAGAAGTTCTTCACAATCATCATCTCACTGAACCTTAGAAGACCTCCCTGAGTTCAGTGCTGTTGTTATGCCTACTTTATAGAGGAAGAAAAATGAGGCTTCCAGTAGAAATTTTGCCTAGTATGACAGAGATGATCCCTGGTGAAGCTGGGATGGAGCTCTGCACCCACCTGTGTGCTATAGAAGGCAGGGAGAGCAAAGACATCTGATGTGTGACTGACACACGGAGACTATTATTGGGAATTTTCAGGTAGTGAGGAGGAGGGTCAGTGGTCAGTGAAAGAAACGGACATTTTAGAGCCAGGATTTTTTCAACTCGGTTAATTTTCACCTTCGGAGGAACCTACTCCTCATAAAAGAGTGCTAGCCCAGATTTAAATAA